GCTGCTGCTGCTGCTGCTGCTGCTGCTGCTTGTTTGCTGCAGCACCTGGCCAGGCCTGATGTGGCGTTCAGGGTGCTGCCAGAGAGCAGCGGCCTGCGCGTGTGCTCTCTGCTGCTGCCCCCCCAGAACTATGCCTCATTCTTTGCTGCTGCTCGCAGCGCAGCAGCAGCAGCAGCAGCAGCAGCCGGAGCTGAAGCAGAGCAAACAGCCGCGACGCCAGCAGCAGCAGCAGCAGCAGCAGCAGCAGCAGCGGCAGCAGCAGCAAAGTGTGCAGCGGGGTTAGATTTGTCAAGCTGCCTGTGGCAGATTGGAAAGAGGACTTCTACATTGGGCGCGCGCAGTGGCTGCAGCTGCAGGACTGGCAGCAGCTGCAGGCGCTGAAGCTGCTTTCTAGTGAGGAGTGTGTGCTGCTGCAGCAGCAGCAGCAGCAAAAGCAGAAGCAGCAGCTGCTGCAGAAGCCCCAGGCACAACAGAAACAGCAGCAGCAGCAGCAACAGCAACAGTCGAAGCAGAAGCAGCTCGGGCCACCCCCAGTGCTGCTGCTGCAGCTGCAGGACCGCCTGCAGCAGGAGCTGCGCATCTGCGTGGCGTTGCCTATTGTGGTTCCCTCTGCGAAGCCGAGCAGCAGCAACGGCAGCAGCAGCAGCAAGCAGCAGCAGCAGCAGGATGGGGAGGAGCTGCGCTGCGTCTGCTGCTACACAGAACGCAGACGCACTTGGGTTTCTCTTCACAATAATTTCTTTCAATTAAATTCTTCTCTTTTCTTTGCCTGGACTTCCGACAAAGACAAATACAACCAACTCTACTTGCATGTGGGCCTGTCGTGGCTGCTGCTTCTGCTGCTGCTGCAGCAGCTATTGCTGCTGCTGTTTAGCGCGTTGTCGTGCTGCTGCCGTCGTACTGAGTGTTGCTGCCGTTGCGCTGCTGCTGGTGCTGTCTGGCGTGTTTTCGCTGTGCTGCTGCTGTTGCTGCTGACAGCATTTGTTGTAAACTCGTTGCTGTTCTCGCTTCCCGCGGGCCTGCTTATGCGCTGCTGCTGCTGTTGCGCTCTACATTGCATGCACTGCTGCTGCTGCTGCTGCTGCTGCTGCTGCTTGTTTGCTGCAGCACCTGGCCAGGCCTGATGTGGCGTTCAGGGTGCTGCCAGAGAGCAGCGGCCTGCGCGTGTGCTCTCTGCTGCTGCCCCCCCAGAACTATGCCTCATTCTTTGCTGCTGCTCGCAGCGCAGCAGCAGCAGCAGCAGCAGCAGCCGGAGCTGAAGCAGAGCAAACAGCCGCGACGCCAGCAGCAGCAGCAGCAGCAGCAGCAGCAGCGACAGACGATGAGGAGGACCTGTACTTCTTCCTGCGGGTGATTCCCCAGATCCCAGAGGAGGTGCAAACCAACAGCAGCAGCAGCAGCAGCAGCAGCAGCAAGTGCAACAAAAGCAGCCTGCTGGCCGGCCACCTCGCGCCCCTCTCCAGCCACATTGTTTGCGCCCGCCTCTCGCGGCAGCTGCTGGAGAAGATTTCTTTGAAGTTGCATGCAGCAAAGCCTGAGGAGGAAGAAACCAAAAAGGTGGCTTTTCCCAAACCCTAAACCCTAAACCCTAGGGCTCTTCTGCACTCTTCTGCACCTCAAACCCTAAACCCTAAAGCCTTGCGGATTGGAAGCAGTGAAGTCTCGGAAGCCACGGCGCACGCGTGTCTGGTCAGGCGAGCCCGGGGCGCAGCCGCGAAACCTAGGGGCCAGGGTTTAGGGTTTAGGGTTTAGGGTTTAGGGTTTGGGATAGGGTTTGTGTTTAGGTTTACGACCTCAACTGCCCCTATATCTTCCTCTCAAACCCTCAAGTCCACGGGCAGCACTCTGCATTCTTCTGCAGCGGATTGCCCCTGTGGCTACATGTGCACCACGCAGTGTCGGCCCCCCGGCAGCTCTGGTCTCTAAACCCTAAACCCTAAGCCCTAAACCCTAAACCCTAAACCCTAGCTTGCCTCGCAGGCGCTAGCGGGCGCAAGGCGCCACGCAGTACGAGGCTTCCGCTTTGCTAAACCCTAAACCCTAATCGCGGCTCCTGGTCTTTAAACCCTTCACTCTAAACCCTAGCTGCTAAGGCATAATCTGTAAACCCTAGACTGTAAACCCTAATCTGCAAACAACAGCGCTAAAACCTAACCTAGAAACCCTTAATTTGAGCTCTAGCCAGTAAACCCTAATCTATGAACCCTAAACCCTAATCTCAAAACCATAATCCCTAAACCGTTTAAATGTTTTGTCAAGACAACCTACAAACATTGAGGTTGTTGCGAGAAGAAACCCTAAACCCTAATCTCAAAACCATAATCCCTAAACCGTTTAAATGTTTTGTCAAGACAACCTACAAACATTGAGGTTGTTGCGAGAAGAAACCCTCGGCAAAGGCACTTTGGCTTAGGACTTTAGGGTTGAGGGTTGAGGGTTGAGGGTTTAGGGTTTAGGGTTTAGAGTTTAGGGTTTGGGTTTTGGGTTTTCTGTGACAGGGTTCGCTACATGCCAAACATTAGAGAACTGTTTGCTGCTGATGCTCGCGGGGAGTGCCTGTACCCCGCAGCAGCAGACACTGCTGCTGCTGCTGCTGCTGCTGCTGCTGCGGACCCTGCTGCTTTGGCTGACCTCCGCTACACACTCGAAGCTGCAGCAGACTACACTCTTGAGCAGCTGCAGCAGCAGCAGCCGCTGCAGCAGCGGCAGCTGCAGCACCAGCAGCAGCTACTGGACTCTGTCCGCACTGGCCTGCGCAAGGCTTTCTACTACTACCCCCACGCCACCGGCTGCGGGCAGGTGAGCTTTACAAACCCTAAGCCCTAAACCCTAAACCCTCTTGACGATTTGCGACTTAAATCCGCAAAGAGTACTAGCAGGTTCCTTGAGAGTTTGGGGCCCTAAACCCTCCAAACCCTAAACCTTAAAGCCTGCAAACCCTAAACCCTCAGATGCACCCTGCTAAGGCTGGCCGGAGTCTGCCAGCGCTGAAAAGGCGCAAAAATCAGGGTTTAGGGTTTAGGGTTTAGGGTGTGGGTGCAGGTGGTTTTCGAAAGCCAACACCAGCAAACAGTGTTTGCTCGGGTCTTGTCGCAGCTGCTGCTGCCTTCTTTCTTTTCTTTCCCGCAGCAGCAGCACCGCCTGCTGGGGGCCTGCTACAAGCCTGACCCCAGCGTGCACGGGCCGCGTAAACCCTAAACCCTAATCCCTAAACCCTAGGTCCTAAACCCTAAAGCCGAGAACATACCCAGCAGCAGCCCACTCCATTCCTGCGATCCGCTCCTCGAGACCCTCACTCCTCCTCCATTTACTAATCAGTATTATTATTATTTATTTATTTTTGTTTATTTATTTATTTATTTATTCATTTTCCTTCTGCAGCACCTTACCGCGGGGTGGTGTCTTGCTACGGGGGCCCTCTGATGCAGTTCGTCACCAACTCGTGGGAGCTGCACACAGATCCCAGGGCCCAGGCCCTAGCGAGGCTCGGTAAACCCTAAACCCTAAACCCTAAACCCTAAGCCCTGGGGTGAAGGCGCTGGGCCGCTCGCAGGGGCGTCGGCCGCGCCCGTGCCACCAGGCTCGGCAAGCCTCAAACGCTAAACCCTAAAGCAGGGGTTTTCTTCTTTCTCATTCTTTGTGCTATTCAGTGGAGCGCCTGCTCCTCTTTTGAGGGTTTTAGGACTTCCACGGTTTAGGGTTTAGGGTTAAGTGCTTGCGGTCTAGGATTTAGAGTTTGTGTTCAAGCTTGAATGACTTTGATGTCTGTTCAGCCTGGCCTTCGCTGTGAGGCTCCGGAGCCTCTTGCTTCATGAATCAGTCCAGCGTTCAGGGTTTAGAGTTTAGGGTCTAGGGTCTAGGGTTTATGGTTTAGGGTTTAGGGTTTGTGGGCAGGCTTGCTGGTGATAAAGACTGACAACCGCGGCAGCGACGGCCGCACAACAGCTTTTGAAAAGTCCATTTGTTTGCTGCTGGGCCACAAGGAAGCAGCAGACCAAGCAGAAGCATGTCGCTACCTCGAGAAGCAGGGCCTCCTCAAGCTCAGCAGCAGCAGCAGCAGCAGCAGCAGCAGCAGCAGCAGCGAGGGCGAGCTGGCCAGCGGCGTGGGCATATATGGAATCAGCTACGGCGGCTTCCTTTCTTGCATGGCCCATTTATTATACCCCGAGTTGTTTTCCGCGGCTTTCTGCGTAGCCCCAGTCACCTTCTGGGAGGTAAAACCACCATTTAGGGTTTAGGGTTTAGGGTTTATGGTTTAGGGTTTAGGTGTGCGTCTTCTGCTGTGGGGCGGCTGCCCAGTGTTGGTGTTTCTGTTTGTCTCCTTTTCCCTTTCATTTATTTCTTTTGCATTTTTAATCTTTATTTTCTTTTTATATTTCCTTTTTAATTTGTTTCCTTTCTTTTTCTTTTTTCTCCTTTTGTCTTACTTTTTGTTTTGTATCCCCTAGACCCCTTCACTCCATTTATTTCGTTTTCTTTTGCTGCTTCTTTGCTGCTGTGTCTCCTAAAGGGGTTTTAATGTATTGGTCTCCTGCGCCTCCGTTTGGGTCTTTGCTGCTGCTGCTGCTGCAGCCCGTGCTGCTGCTGCTGCCTCTGTTGCTGCTGCCGCTGCTGTTGCTGCCCCTTCAGCCGCACCCTGCTGCAGTCTCTCCATTTTCAGATGCAAACGCCGAAACTGCTGCTGCAGCTGCCCCTGCAGCGGCTGCTGCTGCTCCACAGGCTGCTGCTGCTGCTCATGCTGCTGCTGCTGCTGCTGCTGCGCGCAGGGGTACTCGACCCACTACACTGAGCGTTACTTGTCTTTGCCTTATCTAAACCCTAGCGGCTATTTATATTCTTCAGTGCTGCCTTTTGTGAGCCCCAAAAGAAAAGAAGCTGAGGGCCGACTGCTGCTGATGCATGGAGCAGCAGATGAAAACGTGCTGCTGCAGCACTCCCTCGTGCTCGCCGACGCCCTCATTAGGCAGCAGGTAAGCCCGAGGGTTTAGGGTTTAGGGTTTAGGGTTTGGCTCCCTGCGTGTGGGTGAGTGTTTCGTCGGTCGTGCAGTTGTTTACAAGTTTTCCCTGCTGTCTCAAATCTAGAGTTTGTTGTTTAGGGTTTAGTTTTAAGCTCTAGGGTTTAGGGTTTAGGGTTTGGGGCTGACGGAGGGTTCAGGGTTTGATATCTATGGTTGGGGCCGCTAGCTGCGCCGCGTTGCCTCTTAAGGGCCAACTACAGATAGAAATAGCGTTCTTAATTAGGGTTATGGTTGTTGCTGCAGTCTTAGGGTTTATGGTTTAGGGTTTAGGGTTTGGGCGTGTTACAGGCAGCGTTTGAGCTGGTGTGTTTGCCTTCTTCTCGCCTTGGGGTTTAGGGTGTAGGGTTTAGGCTTGGGGGTTTAGGGTTTAGGGTTTAGGTTTTAGGGTTTAGGGTTTGTACGTGTTGCAGGCGGCGTTTGAGTTGGTGTGTTTGCCTTCTTCTCGCCACGGGCCGTCTTCGCCCCACGAGGCCTCGCTGATGCGTCGGCGTTTAATTCGTTTTTTCGCAGAGTCCTTTTTGCCGTATTGCAAAAGGCCTTGTGCAGATTCCTCTTGAGTTCAGAAACGAAGCGAAGTCCACGAGATCCAACTCCAAAATAAATCCAATATTTAACAAAATAAATCTAATTAAATACTTTTATTTCCAAATTCTTCAAACAGTCTTCAAAAATTTTTCCAAAAATCCAAAGTGGCGGAGCCCGCGCTGGCGCTGCACTCAACGTGCATGCAAGGACACCTGAAAACATTCAAGTATTCATGTTTGCAGTTTCTTCATTTTTGCTCCTCAGTTTCGTTTATTTTATCGTTTTTAGATGTTTAAAAGGAAATTAAACTCAATAAACGCGTTTTAGAGTTGCTGTTAGACCTTTTTAGAAGTAAATTGCAATTAAATGGCATTTTGAACGAAACAAAGATATGCCAAAACGGGCGAAATCCTCTCAGCCGCTGCGCCAGAGTTGTGCAGGCTTTCTTCAAAGGGCAAACAGACAAGTTAAGAAAGAAATAAATAGTAAATAAATGATAATTAATAAATACTAAAAGTAATAAATACTCAGCTGGTGAGCTGCAAGCTGCAACGCAGGAGTCTGCAGTCGAGGGTTTAGGGTTTAGGGTTTGGTAGCTGGAGCGAGCTGCAGCTACCAAACCCGCAGCCGAAGCAAATCGGACGCTTCTGAATTAGCTGCCGCAGCAGTCCAACTGCAGCAGCAGCTAACCGTCCCGAGGCAGCAAGGGGAGACGAAGGAGTAACATGAATAAAAACTTTTGGATGTGTATTATTAAAAAAGGGAAGTAGTGCTTTTAAAAGAACATCTTTAAGTGAAAGGTCAAAGAACAAATATATATCGAAATTAATTTTATACATGAACATGCAGATGCTTGCAGAAACCGCCACTTGCCTTCGGCAGTTTATTTTATTGCATAAACAGGTCCAAGTTGATGTGTGTATAAGTACTTTACTTGAGTTATATAATGTGCGCACACGCATATATATATGCATATGCATATAAATACTTATTTTGATTTATATAATGTACGCATATAAATATATGTATATATACGCATATGTGCATATATATACTTTAATTGCATCACATAATATATGCATATATATATATAACACTCACGCACACACATATATATATTTTATATATACATATATAAGTGCATATGAATACTTCAATTGCCCTATATAATATGGGCATATAATAATACGTATTTATATTTGTATGGGCGTCCACAAGAAGACGTACAGAAATAGGTAAAGGCATGGACTCAAATAGAAACAGAGAGGAGGCGTATATGTTATACATTTGTGGAGATGTGCGCATTGTGCGCATATATACAAATGTACATATATATAGATATATATATATATATTTATATATTTATATGTATATATAAAAATATAGTTGTATATATATACGTGCATAAGTACATTTTTAATATATAGAATGAATCACTTTTTAGGACCTCTTTTGGTTTTGTTCTCACAAGCTGCCTTTCGTGGTGTACGGACAGCTCGAAGTATTTCGGCAGCTTAATGGAGCAGCATTGGGGTGTACGTACACCAGAGCCTGCCTTGAGATGTATGCACACCTCAGGGTATCTTGAGGCCTCCTTCTTGCGTATGTGCCTTTTGCATTTTTAGAATTAATTTGTTTACAATTGGCTTTATTCCCACTTAAATAACGCTATGAGTCTGTTGCCTCTTCGCTCGGGTGTATGTACAAATCAGCACTCGCAGAGGTGCGCATACACCTCACCACATGCTGGGGTGTCTGTACAGCTCAAGTTATGTTCGGGGATTTGGGCATAGATGGGATGCATGCGTTCTGTGGGGTGTATGTAAAGCTGCCCCCACGTCGGGCAAGTCGTTGCAGTAGTTGGGGTGTACGTACACCTGAATTTGGCCAAATTGAATTATAGGCAAAAACAAAATTGTTAAAATGAAGGCCTCTCAGCAGCAGAAAGCTCGAGATACACCCAAAAGGGCCCTCTGCTGCGGCGCCTACTGCTGTTGTTCCTAGTGCTGCTGCTGCTTCTGCAGCAGGGGAGAATTCTCTCCCCATATTGCAGCAGCAACAAAAGCAGCTGCTGCTGCTGCCGCTGCTGCTGCTCCTGCTGCTCAAACGCCCGATTTACTGAAATGCTAAAGCTGCAGATTGCTGCTCTCCCAGGCGCAGAAGCCATTGCTCCTATTGCATGTAGCAGCAGCAGCAGCAGCAGCAACAGCAGCAGCAGCATTAAACAGCACTAACAAAAGCAGCGGCTGCCACTGCAGCAACAGCAGGTGGTAAAGTGGCCCCATATGTGCATCTGTTTTGGGGCATTGCACTGCTCAAGTAGCATCAGGAGCTGCAGCAACAGCAACAGCAGCAGCAGCAGCTGCTGCTGCTGCTGCCGTGGTGGCTCCTTCTGCTTTTTTCTGCTGCACATTACTCTTCCCCAGGAGCTGCTGCTGCCTCACAAGCCAACCAGTTTGCTGATGCTGGCTGAGTGCGCTGCAGCAGCTCCTGCAGCAGCTGCTGCTGCTGCTGCAGCGCCTGCAGCAGCAGCTGCTGCTGTGGCTGTGCTTGGAAAAAGGCCGCTGACTGCCCCGCAGAGCCCTCGCCTTACTGTATCGTGCAGGCATTGTTGCAGCAGCAGCAGCAGGTGCTGCTGCTGCTCCTGCTGCTGCTTTGTTACAGACCCCACTCTGCCACAAACAAAGGCTTGTGTAGAAGCGCCTCAGGCTCAGGTTTCCCTGAAGCAGCTGCAGCAGGAGCTGCGGCTGCTGCTGCAGCTGCTTTCGTGGCTGCTGCTGCAGCAGGACCCTTGTTTCCTGAGAAGGCTCACCATTAGCAGCAGCAGCAGCGGCAGCAGCAGCAACCGCAGCAAGAGATGCAACAGCAGTTGCAGCAGCACCTTCGGAGCCATTGGCAGCAGACTCTGCTGCAGCAGATACGCTGGCTGTCTGTTTTGCGGTTGGTTCCCCTTGTTGTTGCTGCTTCTGCGTTTGTTGCTGCTGCTGCTGCTGCTGCTGCTGCTGCTGCTGCAGGGTCCTCAGCAGCTGCTGCCCACGCAGTGTGATTTCAAGAGTTTGCTGCTGCAGCAGCTGGTGGGAAAATCGCCTTGCTGGAGTGCGCAGCTGGCCATCGTGGCATCTTTTGTGGTGCTGCAGCAGCTGCTGCAGCCTCTGCTTCTTCAGTCTTTGCTGCTGCAGCTTCCGCTGCTGCTGTACTTGCCCTCGCTGCTGCGCTTGCTGCTGCTGCTTCTTCATGCCTGCACGGAAGTCAACAACGGCAGTGCCTCCAGCTGTGCTAGAGAGGGAACTGCCGCTGCTGTTGATGTTGCTGTTGCTGCTGCTGCTGCTGCAGCTGTTGCTGTTGCTGCTGCTGCTGCTGCTTCTGCTGCTTCTGCTGCTGCTGCTGCTGCTCCGTACAGGATGCCCGCCTGCACTTGCTTTTCCAGCAGACACTGCCTTTCTGCAGCAAGTTGCTTCCTTGCTTCTGCTGCTGCTGCACTCGCCGCTGCTTCTGCTGCTGCTGCTGCTGCCACTGCTGCTGCTCCTGCTCCTGCTGCACCTGCTGCTGTCGCTCGCTAGAAGACTCTCCAGTTGAGGCCGTAAGTGCTGCTCCCA